GTAGTGGAAGCATTTCACAAGCTCGGGGGCAGCGGGAGGAGATGCAACAGAGCAAAATCATTGACGCCGCTGAGCCGCAGCGGCAACAAATCCCAGAAGGGCACGAAACTAAGTGGACCAGACAGGCGCGACAGCACCACCGATTCTCCCAGCTAATGCCTCCCTTGGGATTTCTTTTGGAGAGGGAAAGGTGGGGGGGGGTGCAGCATGCCATTTACCTGACCAAAGGCCCCACCCCACCCCCACCCCGTGGCCTCCCCATCCCCCAGTAGCTTCGCTCACTCGCACATGCAGGAAAGCGCAGGACGATTACATAAAAAAGACAGAGCTGGAAATAGCCCAGATGCACTGATTCCCAGTTCCCCGTTCCCTTCCTCCCCCCATCAAGAACCCAAGCCACCCTTCCCCCACCACCATGGAGCTGCCCTCCCTCCCTCCCCACCCCAACCGCTCATAAGGGGCTCTGGAAAGCACAGCCAATTAAAGACGCTCAAAAGTGGGGCAAGAATGCAGCAGAGGGAGGAGGGGGTGCTGGAAAAACTGCAGATGGGGGGGGGTCTTGTGGGATAGGGGATAGCGATATGACCATCCCCACCACCCTAGAATCAATTTGCCGCCTCCCAGGTTCCAAAAGGGACTGCAGGTGACAAGCCAATGGAAAGGAGGGATGGCGCAGAATGACATACGCATACACCCCACATAATAATAATTGTGTGACACACAATTCTCCCTGCAGATTGGATCTGACATCCTGCTTTATCACTGCCCGAAGGAGTCTCAAAGCGGCTAACAATCTCCTTTCCTTTCCTCCCCCACAACAAACACTCTGTGAGGTGAGTGAGGCTGAGAGACTTCAGAGAAGTGTGACTGGCCCAAGGTCACATAGCAGCTGCATGTGGAGGAGCGGGGAAGCGAACCCGGTTCACGAGATTACGAGTCCACCGCTCTTTACCACTACACCACATTGGCTCTCCAAATATTATCCAATGAAGTGAAACAGACAGCACAAGTGGCAGCTGGGGGGCAGGACTCCTGGGTTCTTTCACCACTGCAAGGCTGTGTTGAGCGGGTCTTAGTATATGGGGCACGTTGCTGTCTGGCCTCCTATCAGAGTCCCAACTTTTTGGGAGCCCCACACCTCAAGACGGTCATGTTTGAGGAGCAAAGGACCAGACCCTACTTAGGGTGCTTGGATCAAAATAAAGGAAATTCTAGGGATTTGAATGCCAGGACTAAGAAACACACCCCTACAAGCCATGGACCTGTGATGAGTTGGATGAGTAATGGATGATTCTTTTACCTTAAATAATGGCCCCATAGGAAGATTTCTTGCAAGAGAAGAGGAAATAGTTCCCAACAGCTAGTCCAAACACTGGACCTTTGTCCCTGGGTGTCATTGGCTTGAAAGAGGAACCATCACTATTGCCTCTAAGTTGGTGTTTTGCATCATAAGGGAATGTGATACAGTTACTAGGCAACTAAGGATATGATCCTCAACTACTGTTAGGTCATTTGTCAGGATCAAAGAGGCAGCAAGCCTAGGGGACCAAAGCACTGTGTTCCCAGCGGCCAGGACCTATCCTTCTGCTGTCCATCTCAGCCTTCTCTTGTCCATCTCTGAACAGTTCCCGCAGAATCTCTGCAGACCTCTCTGGCAGAGTTACGTCTCCTCGCCGCCAAAATGGGGGAAGGGACAAAGATAAACAAGGACATCTCTGTCAAAGTCAGATAGAGAGTCCAGTGGGCCAATTCCTCCCAACCGTTGTTTAGCAAACTACTGTCTTGGCAGAAGATTTAGGGCTGCTGATGGCATAACCCATGTGTTTCACTTTACAGAGAGCAGTCCTCTGTTTAAAGCGCTGTCGGTCCTAGCCTAGTTTAAAGAGCAGGAACCATAAAAAGAACAGGAGGAGAGGGTCTTGAAGTTACCTATCCAACAGTTAGCAGTACCTGGGTGGCAGGCTGTGGAAGCACACAGGTCACCAAATCCCCATCTTCTGCCCTGCCCTCCACCATGATGAGTTGTGTTGTCCTTCTGTACATATCAATTAGCACATGCAATTTCTGTGCAAATCTGGGTTCTTTGCGTGTGTGAGAGAGAGATGTATTTCCTCTTTTTTGGTGATGTGTATGTGGCCACATGGGAACCAGACCAGATGTCCATGTTAGTAGTAGTACTCATTGAGTAATGGGATAGTTCCCATAGTACCACTGCCCATCTTTGTCCATGGAGTTTTGCCAACAAACCTTGCCAACAAAGGTCCGTATCGTTAAAGCTATGGTTTTCCCAGTAGTGATGTATGGAAGTGAGAGCTGGACCATAAAGAAGGCTGATCGCCGAAGAATTGATGCTTTTGAATTATGGTGCTGGAGGAGACTCTTGAGAGTCCCATGGACTGCAAGAAGATCAAACCTATCCATTCTGAAGGAAATCAGCCCTGAGTGCTCACTGGAAGGACAGGTCCTGAAGCTAAGGCTCCAATACTTTGGCCACCTCATGAGAAGAGAAGACTCCCTGGAAAAGACCCTGATGTTGGGAAAGATGGAGGGCACAAGGAGAAGGGGACAACAGAGGACAAGATGGTTGGAGAGTGTTCTCGAAGCTACCTGCTCTGGTCCATGGGGTTACGAAGAGTCGGACACGACTAAACGGCTAAACAACAACACCACTGCCTATCCAGGACAAGGAAGTGGAATGCTTAGCCCTGACCCCTGACTCTTGGCCATGCTGAGTGAGGCTGATGGGAGTGAGAGTCCCACAACATCTGGAGGCCACAGTCTTCCCCCTCCATCCTTGTTTCAGACCACCTGGTGCCGAGCACCCCAACACCACCAACGCAGGCCTGGTCTGCCCATTCGGAGCAGGACGGATTGGGGCACTTCAAACTGCAAGCAAATGTTTGCTCTTGTAATTACTCATCTAAAGACATCCCTACAAGTAAAAACAAAACCCACAAAGGTATTGCGCCAGGGAGAAAAAGCCTAACACAGTCCTATCCGATTTGTGAATGTGTGCATGCATGCGGTTTATGGAAGGGAGCATTTTTTAAACAAAAACAATGACATCACACCCACACAGCCCTTCAGTCTGAAGTAGTTCAGTCTGTTCAACCCCCCTTGGGGCTCCACTGGCTCATTTACACTGCATTCTGCTGACTCCCGTGTAGGCCAGGGCCTCTCCTGGAGAGAAGCTTCCCAGTTCCCTGCCCACCGGTCTCCCAGCATGCCTGTGGGGCTTCTCCCATCCCCTTCTGTTACCGGGAGTTGGCTCCCCTCATCCTGCCACCTCTGAGAACTGTTTTCCTCCCTAGGCAGGTCTCAGCATGAAAAAGATACAGCTGAAATGAAATCCAAGTGTAATTGAGTTTGTCCCTGGGCTTGGGGGTGGGGGAAGCAGCAGGGAGTGCTCAGCTACTCCTGGTTTTGTGAGGCTTAGCAAAAAACAACAACCGGGGCAGGGGTGAGGCCTAAAGTCCACATACCCCACATTGATGCACACACACACACATGTTCCCACACCTGTGTGTGTGTTCCTGAACAGGGAATACTGAAGCACCCAAACATTCTTAACCTGTGAGTGCATGCACTTTTCAGGCCACACGGTACATGCTTGCCATACAGCAGCGTTAACCATTGTGTTCTCTCACACACTCACATACCTGACACACGCATGCACTTACATGTATCACAGGCAAACGCGTCACAAATATGCCTTTGCCACAAAACCTCAGCAGTCCGCTCTTTCTCCCCCACCCAGTTCACCCTGTTTCTCCGACAAAAATCCACAATTCACAGACTTATAGGCATCGCTCCCCTGTATGCACATGCAGGCAGAACTACGTGTCTTTCTGTACACACACTCGCAAGAAGCACATCATCTCTGCACCTAAACCCCTCCTGCAACACTGGAGACAAAAGTGCCAGCAGTATTGAATCATCAGTGGCGGGGGTGGGGGGGTCCAGGCCTGAGTCTCTAGCTCCTGTCCACTCTGCAAAACAGAGCCACCAACAGCCACAGATCCCATCTCTTTCCTTCATCCACCCACCCCGCTTCAGCCCAACTCTGCTGCCCAGGATCAGGACCAGATGCAAACCTCAAAGGAGCTCTGTTCCTTGCCGCCATTGGCCAGGTCATATTACGGTCAAGAGGGAGGAGGGAAGCAGGTGAGACAAAAGCCCTTTGTTTGGGGGAAGGCAGGTGCTGGGAGTGGTATGGCCCGTGCCACTCCTCTTTGAGTGAGGGACGGCAGGGAAGCCGACTGTACAAGGTTTATTTGCAAACCCCCTCCCCCCCCCCACACACACTCACTGGTTCCGAGACACACTCAGAATGGGAGAAGATTTTGTTCCCTGGAAGATGCAGGTGCACACAGAGACGTAGGCACCAGAAGCCTTGAAGCATGGGGGAATTCAGCGCCAAACTGTGTGTATGATGGGGTGTGTGGAGGGGGCTGGAGAGCAAAATGTGAGATAAGCCAACTAACCAATTAGGACCCAGGAGTCCCAAAGCAACCCTCTACCTTGCAATGCACTAAGTCCTCTCTCCAGAAATGCAGGAGTTTGAGCTTTGGTGCCACAATCCCAGAGGTGACGATCTGCAGTAGTTTTGTGTAGAGGAGGTAGCAGGAGGCAGCAGACAGAGCAAGTAGCAAAGGCTGCCCATTGCCTACTTGCTCTCTCTCTCTCTCTCTCTAGCCAGCAGGGGAAACAGCTAGGACCAAAGAGATGCTCAAATTACTAAACTGCAACTAAAACAAAGATGTGAAGGTCACAGGGAATGAGGCACCAAGCCAGGCTTCTACAGAGTCCTGGCTGCAACCACAAGGGTGGCAAAAGCTGTGGCAGGGACCCACCCACCCCCGGCAAAATGAAAGGATCCGGCATGGATGTTAGTGACAAGTTGGAGAAAAATACCCCTGGCTAAGCTGGAGGCTGAGGTCACAGGCACACCGTGTATTTAAAGCACTCTTACACCACTCTGACAATTTTGGTTTCCTCAAAGAATTCTGGGAGCTGTAGTTTGTTAAGTGTCTCCTATCAACTCTCAACATCTTTAACAAACTACAGCTCCCAATATTCTTTGGGGGAGGGTAGGAAAGTGGAATAGGAGTGCTTTATATGTCCTAGAAGGGATGGAAGCAGGAAAGCCATTTTCTTCACCCCCTTGTTCTCATGTGCCACCAACAAAGAACAGGTGCACAGCAAGAGCTGTTTATTGAGCAACCCCTCCAGATGGCTCACAAAAGCAAGTCAAGCCACATGCCACATCTGACGGGCTATGTTGGGGGGGGGGGGAGCAATCAAAGGAAACATGTAGGAGGCAGAGAGAAACCCTGATCTGGCTGTGAAACATCTTCTGCTGCAACATTCAAAGACCGGGGTGAGGAATTAAGTCCTTCCCTACACTAGGTAAAGGTAAAGGGACCTCTGACCATTAGGTCCAGTTGTGGCCGACTCTGGGGTTGCAGCGCTCATCTCGCTTTATTGGCGGAGGGAGCCGGCGTACAGCTTCTGGGTCATGTGGCCAGCATGACTAAGCCGCTTCTGGCGAACCAGAGCAGCGTACGCAAACGCCGTTTACCTTCCCACCAGAGCGGTACCTATTTATCTACTTGCACTTTGACGTGCTTTCGAACTGCTAGGTTGGCAGGAGCAGGGACCGAGCAACGGGAGCTCACCCCGTCGCGGGGATTCAAACCGCCAACCTTCTGATCAGCAAGTCCTAGGCTCTGTGGTTTAACCCACAGCACCACCCGCGTCCCTACCCTACAGAAGCACCAAAGACGTCGGACCGATTCATGTGATCTTGTTGAGGAAGGGGGAGTGGCAAAGTCACCACAAGTTGAATTTCTGATAGAATGCGAGTTCAAGCTACACAGGCTCTAGAATCAACCCAAAATTCCACTCTGAGGAAAAAGTTGTTGCTTTGCAGGCAGTAAAAAAAGGTTGCATGAGCAACAGAATCCTACACAAGTTCAGTTAGAATTCTGTTCTATCGCATTCAAAAGGTGGGAAATGATTTAGTCCCAGCTGAGCCACCATGGTGTGGTAGTTTAAAGCGTCAGACTAGCACCCAGGAGACAAGGATTCAAATCCTCACTGGGTTACCTTGGGCCATTAACTCTCTCCCTCTCAACCTAACCTGCCTCAAAGGGTTCTTGCGACGATAAAATTGAAAGCGAGACATCCATGCGCACCACTTTGATTTCTTTGCAGGAAAGGTAACCATCAATAAAGAGGCTCCAGTCTCAACATGACCCTGATTGGCACTTTCAATATTAATTAGACGAAGAACTACCCATCTGAAATGGCGAGTCCCACAAACAAAGGGCTTGCATCACAAAGACTCAGGGGCAGATCACCACCCTGATCTGTGTCCCCAATGTCTCATGGGCCAATTTTAATTCAGCTTTCAATTCACACTGTCTTGCTCCACCCAAGTCTTTCTGATCACCGAAGCAGTGAACACGCTAGCCTTTTTGCAGAACAAGAATGTTGTTTTTTCTTAATCCAGAATTATTTATGCTTATCCCCCAACATGCTTCTTTCAGTCTAGATTTTACATATAGATACATAGATCCTGCTGTCCACAAGGATATGACTACTTGATTCACATTTGAATATTCTCCTCTTCATAGGTTACCCAGTATTTTCCTCCCTGCTCATGCCTATAAAGGGGGAAGTGGCAATTGCAATCTTAGCACCCACCCACCCACAACACCATTGGGCAAGGGGGGATACCCTCCATTGCTAGAACCGCCTACATTGGCTTTGATCCGATTTCAAATGGGTACACTGCTGGGTAATTCAGATTAATCTCTGGAAATGCGTTTCAGAGGCATTATTTGTTTGGATTAAGCAGGAAAAAACCCACCAACTCCTCAGTCTCCATTAATTCTAGAATAAAATGTGTGTATGCAGCCAAAGTTTGCTTGGGTCTCCTCCAAGGCTTCCCAAAATTTATCATATATTGCTTGCACACTCACACACACATCTTCACAGCCTCAGTAGCTAGAAACATAGGTCTACCCACAGTAAATGAGATTGTTAGGCTATAACATGAACTTCTCTGGGCAGCTTAATTAAGAAGTATAAAATACATACACAGCAACACATGCTAAAATACAGTTCCTATGCTTACCCAGTGCAATCATTTAAAATAAGCAACCTTGTGATTATGCGCAGCTCGCAGACATTTTGGTGCCCAAGATAAAAAATGCAAATAGCAGCATCTCTCCTCCACTAATTAACATGAGGCACAATCAAACAATCCACTACAAAATTCTTTTGCCCGGGACTCTTTCTACACTTTCCAGCCTGGGAGGAGAGCCAGATCAGACCACTGCTATTCACCCTCAACAAGATTTGGGCAGGAAAAAATACTCAGTGTATTGTGCCTCTTGGGTCAGATCTGCCTCCTTCTTGGCTGCTTCTAAAAGGCAGCCAAAGCCTGTTGCCCAAGATGGTTGCCTCATCTTGCCTCGGGACAGGGCCACCCCTCAGCGCATGTGCACGCGCGCACACACACACACACCAAGTCAGGCTTTTGTCCCATCTAGCTTAATACTGTCTACAAAGAGACTGGTAGTGACTCTGCAAGGTTTCAGACAGGAGTTTCCCTACCTGGGGTTGCTGGAAATTGAACCTGTGACTTTCCGTATGCAAAGCATTTGCTCTGCCCACTGAGCCACAGCCCTTCCCCACATATTCCTCCTCTTAGCTGAACGCCACTTTTAAATGATGCTCCAGGACATAGTTCATTGTAGCCTCCACACAGGACCAGCAGTGTCTCATGGGCCAAGTCAGCCTTGCCTGAAGGAGGACTCCACCTGCAGCTCATCACCCTTCACAGAGGAGAAGGCCCTGATGAGAACCAGCTGGCTCTGGCCTTCTGGAAAACAATGCCTGTAGTTTCTGGCCCTACCTTGCTGCTTCCTGCTCACCATCTGGGTTCCCTGTCCTCTGGACTGGACCCCTGGCTCTGTGACCATCTGGCTTCCCTGACTTCCGGACTGTCTGTATGTGGATTTTGCTCGTGTAGTTCCTCAGAGACTGCTAGCCCCTCAGTGCCGGATTAAACCCTGTGGAGACCCCTAGGCCAGGCATAGGCAAGCTCGGCCCTCCAGATGTTTTGGGACTACAACTCCCATCATCCCTAGCTAACAGGACCAGTGGTCAGGGATGATGGGAGATGTAGTCCCAAAACATCTGGAGGGACAAGTTTGCCTATGCCTGCCCTAGGCAGTCAGAATATTGGGGGGGGGGGGGCTTGCAAATGATCTCCTAATAGGTTTCTGTACTTTTCTTTCAAGATCAAATCAATATTATTTTGATCTGTTGTTGTGGGACCCCTAAAAGGCATGGGGCCCATAGGCCAGTGCCTACTCTGCTTATTTGGTAATCCGGCACTGTAGCCCCTGCTTGGTCAGCAATGGGACTTGGAAGGGGCTACAACACAGTGATGAATGGGAATGGGAAGTCCTCTTCATGGCAGCTGCAGCATGTTGGTGGGGGCTGTTTGGAAGCAGTGTACAGTGGTACCTCAGGTTACATAAGCTTCAGGTTACAGACGCTTCAGGCTACAGACTCCACTAACCCAAAAATAGTACCTCGGGTTAAGAACTTTGCTTCAGGATGAGAACAGAAATCGTGCTCCGGCAGTGCGGCAGCAGCGGGAGGCCCCATTAGCTAAAGTGGTGCCTCAGGTTAAGAACAGTTTCAGGTTAAGTACGGACCTCCGGAACGAATTAAGTACTTAACCCAAGGTACCACTGTAATGAATACAGGAGTGATATTCAGAAAGACAATGCAAAAGCAACAGAAACATAATACTTTCTTTAGAAGCAGAGTTTGGATTTGATATCCCGCTTTATCACTACCCTAAGGAGTCTCAAAGCGGCTAACAATCTCCTTTTCCTTCCTCCCCCACAACAAACACTCTGTGAGGTGAGTGGGGCTGAGAGACTTCAGAGAAGTGTGACTAGCCCAAGGTCACCCAGCAGCTGCATGTGGAGGAGCGGAGACGCAAACCCAGTTCCCCAGATTACAAGACTACCGCTCTTAACCACTACACCACACTGGCTCTTTAACCCCTTTGAGGGGTTTTTTTCTGCAATCAAGCAGTATATAAATTTTATTAAATTAATTAATTAAATATCAAGGCCAGCTGGAGCAGCAGGCAAACCTTTCAGAGCATGATGGTTCATCCAGCCTCTAGAGCAGTTCTTGGAAGCTTGCTCTCTTTTTTACAACTAGGTCTGATGCAAAAGGCAATGCACTGCTTGTACTTTGGAATTCAATCTTAATGGACCAGTTTGGCTACCCATACTTTTTGTCATCAAGCCCAATGGTGTTCTAGAGACTAGAGAAAGCTGAACTTACAGACTCAAGTATCCTCCTCCCATGGGTTCATTTTGTGGTCCCACGCAAGTGGCTCATTCATTCTTGGCCTCAGTTCTCAGTTGTGGTTCCCTCAATGGTGGACTTTCCTTCATTTGAGGTTTTGGGCAGAAGTTGGATGGCCATCAGACACGTATGATTTAGTTGAGATTCCTGCATTGCGGGGGGGTGGGGGGTGGAGTAGATGACTCTATGGTTCTATGGTTCTATGAATTACAAGCGCCCTGCTTCAGAGAACTCTTGTGATAAACTCAATATGGATCAAAGTATCCTCCCTGTATTTTCTTATTTGTCAGTTAGAAAGGGAGGAGAGGAATGGGGACCCTGTGAATAGAGGATGTCAGAGAATTCTAGTGGAAGCAGAAGCATAGTTGCTTACTCGCCCCATGTCCGGAACAAAAATCAATCCAGGGAATATGATCAGTATTCACTGCTGCTGTTGCCTTCAGTCCACAAGTGATAGGTAATTGATGGCTTCGCTTCCACCCATCATTTGCAGTGTTCTTCCTTTGCACTGAAATGAATGGGGTGGGATAATGTAATGGCAATGTCATTACATGGCTATGGAATTAATTGCAGAAAATTTCAGCAAAGTGGACAGCGAGATGAATAGCTCAGCTTTGGGTGGACTACGAGCTGCAGAAGAATGGAAACAGCTCTACATGGAACAAATATAGGGTA